AAAAATTATATCCCTTTCTTCCATTCTCGGATTATTATTTTTTTTAAGTGTACATATGTAGATACTTTATGATTTCGGATTTGATAACCCTAGTTATATCAGATCTAGTTACATTACATGAATATTTCAATAAAACGAAATAGTATTCCATAATCCTCTTCCTTCCTTTATTTATATACGAAAATGCTTGTAACATCAGGAAGCACTATTCAATGTTATCTGTTCCTTTTATAATGAAGCAAGTGCAACAAGTAAAAGCGTAAGCAATCCGCTAAGTCAGCTCTTTCCTATTTATAACCACTTGCGTAAAAAGAGACCGTAACGCTCTAGTAATGCTCTCGATATTGATTCCACTCCGTCATCTTCATCGAGATTCGCTACGAGTAATTTTGCACAAATAGAATTATTCATGAGTTAATTTCGCATGCCTCGCTAATCAAATGCGTCAATGCTTTCGCAGCGAAACCACAAGTTTACCGCGTTCGATTGCTCCTGTCGAATGTCGCGGTATGGGACGCGCGCTGGAGAATTCGCGTCGTCACGCGATCACGCCGCCGTCTAATGAGTCAACGAATTGATAGGATTCACCCTCCGCCATCATATTTTTCCTATAGCCTATTTGCCAAAGTTACACGCGTAATCCCCGATCCTCTCATCCGCCCGCCTCGTTGTGAAAAGCATCCGATTGGAACGCAGCGACTGTTCGATCCTTCGTTACGTATGATGCATTGATGAAATTTGCGAATCCGCGCGTTACGATGTCGCGGAGTTACCTTGATGAACGACACAGCTCGTCATGGCGACAAATTATGGAGTAGCTGCAGCACTGTCGTTCGGACTGTTGTACGAGGTAACGAGCTGACTTTCGCGAGAGTATATTAATTATCGCGTTGTCGGCAACGAAAACAACGAGACAACGCGCATCAGTTAATAAGCAAAGAACTGATCGAACAGCTTAATTGAGAACTCTTTTCTGTAAATTCCTTATGTTTTGCGTCAGTTTGAGAATTTTATGGCTCTTTAAAGATCCCGTTGTTGCCAAGAGTTCACTTTGCGCCGGTGCTTGTATTTTTATGGGCTTAAACGTGCATTAACGAAAAAAAAATATAATTTGCATAGTATTACTCAAGTTAAAGAATTCTTGAGTGTTATTTTATGTGACGTTTTCTCATTAAGAATTTTTTATCCTTCAAACGTGCATCTGTGAATGGCTTTATATTATTATATAACATATTATTAATTTATATTTACAATCCCAATTTTATTTCTATTACATTTCTATTCTACTTCCTTCTTAAGAAAATAATTTTAACATTCGTTTTTCTCTTGCTTTGTTAATTTAAGACAACTCTGTTCTTTGAATACATTATACACTACTCATGCCACGTTATTACATAATAGCGCCGTAAGTACAAAGTTATGAAAATTCATATGACTATACGAGTGTTAAACGAATGCCAAGCGATGTGATCAAAGTTTACTTTAACACGACGATGTCGCAGGATATTAAACTGAACTGTTGTCATACTGCAACACAGTTCTCTACGCTAACTTTATACACAAATTCAGCCGCTTCATGTTAGTTCCTAGAGAAACTAATTGCTTTGCGTAGAGCAAGCTCTTTTGTAGCTCTGCTAAAAACAAAGCTTGTACATACACAATAACCGGATCTAAAGAATAAAAGTATTCGCGCATAGTTCGTTAACAAATTATAATAATGAAGTCTCTCGTATACAGTCCATCCTCGTCTCACAATTTATATTCACATTTTTGTGCATACTTTTAACATAGATAAATAAATTTATAATTTAATGTTACTTGAGATTTATATTTTCTATTTTATCGCATCATGAAAGTGATATTGAGAATCACAAATATTGTAACAAACGCTGAATGATAAGTAAAACAACATGCCTAAATAATTTATTTTTTGATAGTGCTGTCATTCGTGTCGTCATCCTCATTGTTATCCAAACTTCTCTCTTACGAAATCCTATTCCTTAAACGTATGCATGACTCTCGACCGATTCGAGCCTGTTAACATATAAATTGCCGCTTAACGACGAGACAATCAGTTTCGTGGAAACTCTTGGGAAGAGAGTGATGACGGAGACGAAGACCGACGACACCGGAGTGCGAGGATAAACGAAATAGTACAGGGAAAAGACAAAGAGAGAAACAGATAGAATGAGAGGAACGAAAAAGGACGATAGGAGACGAGGTTACCCCCGAAAGTAACGGGGAAGAGCGCGGGAACGGTGGAAAAGACAGCGCACTGGAGAACGAAGGGGCCGTCGAAGAGACAGAAACGGGAGGAAGGGTGGCATTCAATTCAATTTCCTAAGAAACTCTTTAGTGTTTGAGATACAGCCGCCGAAAGGATGCGCGCGAGGTTAGATATGTGGTGGAGATGGTGAGTGCGATCACGGTGGGGGATGGAAGACAGATAAACGGGGCGACCGAGGGGGTGGTAGAGTTGGATAGAAAGTGGGATAGAGAGAAATCCGAAGGATGGATGGGCGCGCGATCGTTTGCCGTGCGAAAGGGAGAAAGGAAGAGGGAGTGACGGCGACACGCCGCGTGAAGGACGGAGGGAGCGATGGAAAAACTGTAATAGTGAGTGAGTCAGAAGACAACTACAGCGATAGAGGGCTACATAAAAGAGAAAGAAGTTTTCGTGTGAGTGCGGATGCGGGAATAAGAGGGTGAGAGAGAAAAGAGGGAAGAGAAGAGGGGCGGATTGATATCGCCGAAAGAGAAGGTAGACGGGTGAAGGGATGAACGAGGGGGCAGGGTATGAGCGAGAACATGGATGGAAGAACGCAGGATAAACGGAGATATGGGACGGGAGAGAGAGACTGACTAACTGACTGTGCCCGGTTAGGGGGTGAAGGGAATAAGGATTCTGTGCGCGGGCGCGAAGCTGGCGCAAACTCTTCGTGCAGCATCCCTCGTCAGTTGCAAGTCAGGAACTATCGCGGCCGCGTGGCGCCCGCGCTGTGTCGCCAGTCTTGCCGATTTCAAACGCTTACGCGATTCCGGCTGATCGATGCGCGAACGGTACTAAAAAAAAAAAAAAAAAAAAAAAAATTATCAAGTTGTCAATCTATCCGTGAATTCTCCGCTCTTGCGTTCGCCCGATGTTGTCGCGCGTCCGCGCATTTCCGCGCTTCCGTTCGCGCGAATAGATCCTCTTCCATTTTTTATGGGAAACCGCGAAAACAAGAACGCCGTGATACCAATCGGCGAGCGAGGATATATGTAGACAAAAAGCGCGACGTGCGCGCGTTACAGTGACACAGAAGATCCTTCACGGCAGAATGGATAAAGACTTTCGTCGGAAGTATAAAAAAATGCGATATGGTCTGCTCCACCTGCTGCTGATAGTGGGGGGTAAGTTTCATTATACAGTGTTAAGTTCGAAAGGGGGAGGAGGAATTTCTCGAGTGATTTGGATGCGTCGCTGATTACCGCGCCGGTGAAGCGTTCTCCATCGACTTTTAATCTTCGAACGGAAGAACTCATTGAAGTGAATCTTCCATTGCTTTTTCGCCCGCTGATGCGAAAGCGGTAAAAAGAGGAGGAAACGTATCTCTTCGGTAATTTCGAACCGAGAGAGTTCTCTTTTGTTTAAACAACATTCTACGCAGAACAAGATGGTCTTTGATGAAAGTCTTGATGCACTATGCGGTTCTATCAGCTTCAGTTTGTACTGCTGAAGAATGTCGAGTATACATAGCGATGACGAAAGAGGGATAATGTTGGCTCTTCCGTATCGCACCAAGAAAGAGAGACGTAAAACGGTTAAGTTCTCACTAAGTTGAGCCTGCGAAAAGTCGTTAAAGGAGTCGTTGAAGCTTTCGACCCTCTACACGCCTCCTCCGGTTAAGCTCGTTGCTTCACTGAAGTTCTGAGACCCGTCGATGCGGGAAAGGAACGCGGAATACCTGCGTTCTTAGAGAATAGACGGTCGTTCGCAGCTACTCTATGATCGGCAAGAATGACATCATTACAGCCAAGTTTGGCTCAGTTAGATTACATCGGGATTATAAACGACGCATTCCTTGTCGACGCAGTCCTCAATATTACTACTGCGATTCGCTATACTTCACTCGCGTTAAGTACCGAAAGTGCTTTAAAGATATCTCTGATATTACTCGTGCTAATCTTTATTACCGGATAAAAAGCGGTTTAAATCTTTCCTTTACAAAGGCCGTAAATAACATTTAATTGATCATATCTGTTTGCGCTCCTCTTAAACGGGTCGAAGTACATTATACGTACTGCAAACTAGAGGAGATTGCAGTGCGAACGTTTTGCTCTGATTCACAGTACCTTGGACATGTGCCAGGGGGTGACTCTTATGGAATAACAGTTTTGATATCGGGCCTTGTTATAGATGAGCTCACGAAAGTTTAGTTTTACTTTGTCAAAGTAGGTCGAGCGTAATGCTTATAGTTAGGTAATACACTAGCGAGGGATAGAGACTTCTTGCAGTTCTTGGACATGAATTATTTTAAACAAATCTCTTTCCTCCATTAAAAGAATCTTTTTGTAAAATTTAGTTATAAACATCAGCAACCGTAATCTTACGTAAAGTAACAAGTGAACAGAATTGAAAACTCAGTCGGATTAAAGTTAAAATTTTACGGTTCAGAGAAATACAACTCTGTACGTAAGAGCAACTGCTACGTGACAATCAGAGAAGTTAGTAAAGTAACTTAAAGTGAGTGCAAGTGAGTCAGTGAGCGAGTTTTTAGACACGTTCGGAGTGACGAATGTATTCAATGACGTAAAAAAAACGTAATAGGCGAGAACTTCCAATTCGAGATATTGAAAAACCATTTCCGAGTTTCGCGTTCATAAAAATTTTAAAAGTTCTGTATGTGGTATGTGTGTCTATATTGACTAACCGGTTTGAACCAAAAGCAAAACAGTTTTTATATACAGAAAATCAAATATTCTTTTTGTTATGTTGCAAACAATTTGGAATAATTATCACTTTAGAAATAAAGAACATTTAAATTAAATCCTATACAAATTAATACCATAATATATTATATTAATTATTTTTCTATTGCTTTTATCAATATCTTTATAAAATTGTAGTTGCTTAAATTTTCTAAAATATTTAGCAAGCATTAATATTTTTAGAAATGTATTGTGTACGTATTTAGAAAGTTCAAAAAATTTTTTGAAAAAAATAATTAATAGAAAGTATAAAAATACTTTTAAAATTGTCTTATAATAAATTATTTCTATATTTTGCTCTTTTAAGACCTCAAAGAGTTAAGGGCGGAGCCCATCAGATAACTTGCGATCTGCTGAAGGCGGGGGCAAGTGAACTTTATAATATAATTGAGTCTCTATAAATTTTGTTCACCGTCAATATATAAATTTATTAAAGATTTTCGCACATACTAAAAACAGAGCTTTGGTATATTTATTTATTCTCGTTTCTCCCCTTAACTAATATTTATCTTCATATGTCGCAAATTGATGAAAAATTTTATAGACATATCGCATGGTTTTTACCTCCTCGAGCAAAATTCATTCTGCGTTCTGAGAGTTTTCGCAAAACAACATGATCTTTTCGCATTGTAAAACTGGGTTGTTTCCGATGAGACAAATTCTCTCGACTGAATATTTGCTCTCCGCTGGACCGCTGCTTTTCCACACGATTGCGTCGTGCCGTGAGAAGACGAACAGATACGTGGGAATTCTTCTGAGAGAAAGAGAGAAAGGGAAAGAAAGTCGAGATAGAACAAATCGTGGTGAACGTGCACCGGAATGCAGACATATCCGAGATATACTCGCCTGCTTCGCCATCTTCTCGCAGATACTTTACTTCCGTGACGCAACTTCTGCGAGCGCGTTCTAAACCCGCGTTCTCTGTTATTGGAAAAATACAGTGCTCAGTGTATGTCGATGACGCGATTTATCTATCTCCTTTTGGCGACATCGCTTTTAAGGCAGAGATTTCTGTACTCAACAATTTAGCGTTGCAATTTTGTTCTTTTGTATCTTACTTTTGTATCTTTTATAAAACCTCATGTTTTATAAAGACATATGTATATGTTTTCTCATAATTGTACTCTAGTTCTGAAAGAGAAGTAAAATCGCCGCTTAAGAACAATCCTGAGAATTTTCCTTTATTTCTATCTGGTACTACGATATTTTCGAAATGAGCGTGTTTGCTTCCGAGAGTGCACCATATTTTCAAATGCTTCTATAAACTCTGCTCACTCCGAGAACAGTTTCAGCATAAAACGTTTGTTATCTTTCACAACTTTATCTACCGTTGTGCTGCTTAGTTCTTCTCAGGCTTTATTGCTATTGTTAAACATTTTTAAACGAAACGTACGAAGAAAATTCGCGTTCGTGCGTATATAACATATGTTCGGTTAAATTTAAATACGTGCATAGATATAATCATTATTATTCATTGTCCAAATAAATTGTGCCGAGTTAACGCGAGAGAGTAGAAGCTATCTGAAAAATTGGAAACTTTCCCTAACTTTTGCAAATGTAATTATATTTTTTTAATACTGAATTAAATATTCTTGAAAACATTTCCTATGTCTAGCGCTATTATGACTTGGCAATGCACTTTAATCAAATCAATGTACTACAATTTACTATATTCAATCAACTGTACACTCATTCATTTTTCAATGCAAATTTTGAAAGCTATTCGATGACAAGTACGAATTAATCTTCATCGGTCATCAGCGGCCAGGTTATTGTTTGTTCAAATTTTTAAAACCATTTTTCCGTTGTCAGTTTATCGTGTTACGTTTGTAGAACGTCATTGGTATTTCCATGTTAAGCTCACAGAGTAAACATACACAAATGTAATTGAAGTGTCCTCCTTTGACAAATTTTTTAATAATTTTTTAATTTGATTTCTAATGGAATTTTATCATTGCGAGAATGTAATCTCGTGCATAATATAATAACATAAAAATTATTATAAAATTCATATTATTAATTACTTGCAAAACGTCGTTCATATCATGATTTATATAAAACGTCAAATAATGCAAAATCTTCGACGTCTCATAATATCATCGTTGATATTTCAACAGTAAAAATATAACGGAGAATAATAATCATAATAATACCCGTTCTTTTCCACGGATTCTTTCTGCAATGATATTACATTCCAAAATGTAATGGATTTAATTCGTTCAATATAAAAACAGAGTTAAGAGAAAATACTTTCAAACCGCTTTGTTCTCAATATCTTATCCAATAGTATGAATCTCAATCTGCTAATTGCGCTTCTTTCTTAATTGATTGCTTTGTTTCTTGATGCCTTTATTAAGAATCTATTAAGAAGAAAATAAAAAAGACAATGATGATATATCATCAATCCTATTTTCACATGTTGAAAAATTTGCCTCTGAATCAATATAAGTGTTAAAACATTGTCACGTGAATAGAAGGAATAGTGTAAAGTTGCATCCTTTATTGATTGCAAATCAACTAGCATCTCGTATTTGCAATTATTAATTACATTCTGTTGCGACTTAAGCACCGATGTCTTAACTTGGATGCGCAATTCTGTCAGACATTACTTTTAATTACCTTATCAAATTAACCACCTTTCCTTTATTCCGCCTCGCAGTTCACAGCTGCAGTTCGAGCTGTAGAAACATGCTTGATGGCACGGATCAAATTTTGACCAATTACTTCCGCCAACGTCGCTTTTATCGTTTACGACCGAGACTAATGAACAGAAACTTGGAAGTGCACGCTTGTTATTCGGCACAAACTTTGGTCTTCGTTAACCAAATTCAGTTCACATTCGAACAATAAACACAAAATATATATATTATTCGATTCTTGTCGCGCAATTTCACGCTCGTCAAACTTTTTTTCTATCGTTCAAATTTAATTTTGTCAATATTTATTAGGATGCTGAAAGCAAAATCGGATGCAGTCCTACAGAATCTCATTAACTGAATACCTAATCCGCATGCTCCATATTACGAATCCAATAATGATCTTGCAAGTCAAACATTTTATTCACTCATCGTACTTCGATTCATTCGGTAGACGTCTCCATTCTGATCTCCTCGACCGTCTCGAGCAGGCTACAATTCGCAGCAGACAGGCCGAAAGATTTTCTCGAGACACGGTATTGAAGATGTACTTCCTTCCACTCCGCCTTCTTTTCCTTCTTCCATTTTTTTGCTCCGGGAATCGGAATGCAAAGGATGCAGAAATGAAGAGGGTACTTCCGTCCACAATTCGAAGACCTCATCGCCTTCCGCCTCAACTCGATTGTTCTGTCTTCGTCTCATCACGGTCGTCGTTCTCTTTTGTTCCTCGAGTTTCTCGTTGCTCTCGTCACAGCCAGAACGAGGAGAAAAGGAATTCTCAGAGCA